AGAGAGAGAGAGAGACGAGTTGGCCTTCTCGCGCGATGCATTGTGCGCCAGTTAATTACGTACGGATAAACGCACAGTCATACCGGATACAGTTCGAGAGGTTCTTCTTTCAGCGATCTCACTCGGGGGCCCTTTCCGCCGCGGTCGACAGCCGAAAAAATCGGCTGCCGGGACGAGGGCACAATACCAACCGTTTAGAACCGAGAAAGAGGGGCAGCCGGCTCGTTCGGTACGGCCTGAAATTGTTTTCATTGTTCCCGCGATTTGTCAGGGTGTGTAACACGGTAGCAAAACTATTAGTCGTCTGATATCCACGGACGTACGTGAGGCTCCAAGTGCGCCGATGCGTCTCGCAGTTACGATCTGTCTCGATCGAATCAACTTTGTTCGTTCGAAGCAATCCTCTCTTCTTTCCTCGAGGCGAGAAGAACTCTGTCGAACAATGAACTTATCCCTCTGGGCCTACGGTGTCGTTCTTCGTTGACTCGCGCAGTGAGGCGCACGCACGACGCGCGCGACACCCTTCGCAATCACCGGCAACGCGGCAGTATCTTGAGCAGTTAAATTGTCATTTGGATATCAAAGGGACGAGAAACACCCCGCGCGCGGATAAGGGCGCCAGAGGTAATTTGGATCAGTGAAACGCAAACACTCGCGGCTCGGCTCGGCAGTCCCGTCGAACGCACGAATTCACACCCACGTACCACGAAACAGCCCTCAGCTATTGTTGCACGAAGCATAATGGAATCTCGGCCCCGACATCTCTAGTCCCGCGCGACCGCGCGACTCGTGCTACGGGGTAACGTCGCCACGGTTCTCCGGCTTCTCTCCTCTCTTCGTCCGTGCGCCACGCCGGTTAACTCGGATTTAATGGCCTCGCAATTCGATTTTACCATTGCTCGTTGCCCAAGGAGGCGCCATTTCACGCTTGCCGATTTCACTCGCGCCTTCTCCCCTCTCCCCCTTCTTCCTCTCTCGCGATTAAGCCTCTCAATGGACGAGCGAATCTCTCTGCGTCAGTTTCATCGAAACATGTTTTCGTTACACTTTCGTTCGAATTTTCTTTCCGTCGGCTCGACGAATTTTCAATTTTCCACGAGGAAGAGGGTCACGGGCAGGACAACCCTTCTTCTTTCGATCCTCGAGTAGGTCTGTAATCGTGAGACCGGTCGAAGGGACGTCGCGTCGTTCCGTGGGCTTAACGAAGTAGACCGAAACGAGGAGCCTGCCCGCGGTTAATTCGGCGCGATATCATTAAAGGGACATTTTCCAGTTTTCACCCTAATCCTTGCGGAATTCAGTGAGCAAACCTGCGGCCCTTTTCACGCCTGCCTTCGTCCGTTATCCCTGTGCCGTCCCTTCTCCCGTTCCCCTTTCTTGCAGTTCGCGCTCGCTGGTTTTCCACTAATTACCGCCCCGTTTCATCCTTCGCGGCGCGTTTCGGTTCACGCCTCGACAAAATCGACGCCAAGACGTCCCGTTCCACTGTCCCTTCCGGGACACCAGAACAGTCTTTGTCAGACGCTCAATCGCTCCCGCGATTCCCTCCTTCCTCGTTCAACATCCACGGTGAAAGAGATAACCAACGAATGTTTTGTATTTTCTTCCCTGTCGCAGAATCGCTGGTGCAAGAACTCGAGCTGGAGAGAAAATCGCGGCAGCATCAGGCGGCCGAGAGGGACCAAGTGAAGTCTCCTCTTCAAGGTGGGTTTACCGGTGACGCTTCGACGCCACTGAATCTCGAGCAAACACGGACACCGGTGATTTAGTGCAAGAGACGTCGGCGCCAAGGCCGACCGGTAAAAGTTACGCGGCACTATCGCGACTAACCACAATTTCGTAAACGGAGGAAGGCGTGGAAAATTCGATTCTTGGCCGGATCAGCGAGCAGGAATTTCTTGCGACAAGTAACAAAGTTTCGGATCTTTAATTAGAAAGTCCTCGGGGATGGCAGTCGCGTTTCGAGGGGGTGTTTCTTGCAGCGGCGTCACTGGCATACGCCGCCGGATTCAAAACTTGCCGTCGCCTCTTGCTCCGCGGAAACTTGTCGAAAGTTCCAGCCTCCGCTGCAAAAACCGTCTAACCGATGCCGCGTGATTTCAACGCTCTTTCTTCGTCTTTCTCTTCCTTCTCCTTCCCTCCTTCCTCTCTCTCTCTCTCTCTCTCTCTCTTTCTCTCTCTCTATCTGTTCGTCCATCCATCTATCTATCCATCCATCCATCTATCCATCTATCCATCTCCCTCACGGTATTCGTCTCTGTTTCTCTTGGTCTCTCGAAGATCCCCGACATGACGCTGCACGTAAATAATCGTTTTTCTCCCCGCGAACCAAGGTCCAGCGCGGCTTGGCAATCGCTTAACGAGTGGTTCCCTTAATTGGCCGCCGTTTCGCGAAGTCAACTCCTCGTCGGCGAAACGATCGTTTTCTCTTATTCGAAATTAACCGCGTCGTCGAGCGATTTCGGGAATCGTTAAGCGTCAGAGGGGCGACGAGATGCGCGCGCGTTGCTTGCGTGCGTACCCTCTTTTCGTAGAGCCCGTTGCGAGTATCGTGGGGAGGAAGTACCGTGCGGAGTAAATCGTATCCGGTGGACTATTAAAACGGTGCGTGGTGATTTTCAATCACAAGCGACAGTTCGATAAAAAGTCAAAGTGGCGGCTCGATCACAAAGGCGCCGTGAGGGCCGATGAGTCGACCGGTCTCGTATTTACGAACGCGCCGAATAGGAACCATTCTCGGCCTCTCTCACTCCCGAATGTCCGCGCCTCGTCTCTTTCGCGTTCATCTGTGTCTCAGGAGGCAAGGATAATTAGTGAGCGGCGCCGCTTCCAGCTGAACGATCATCGAATCATTCGCTCGGTTTTCTCTCTTATTCTCGAATCGGTCGGTCGCTTCGTCCAACGGGCCGCGCGTACTCGAACGACGACGGGATAGAATCACGGGATAGAGAACGAGAAGCGTTGTCAGGTGATTCCTCTCTCGAACGACACGCACCAGGACACCGAACTCTTGACCGCCGCCTTCTGTTTCAGAATCCCGAACGGGTTACTACAAGAACTCTGTTCTGTTCACGAGTGCGACCTAGAAGAGGCTGGAGGAGAGCAGAAGAGGGGCGGAGCGCGTGTCAGCGAGCAGCCAGAACGAGTGATCGCGATCGATCGTAGGGGAAGAGCAAGAGAGACGAGGAAAACGGCGTGGAAAATGGGGCGAGACCAGCCGCCGGACTCCCGTACAAACTCTTCGTCTCGCAGTTTCGTGTGACTCGCGCGGCCGAGCCGATTAAGTCGACCGACCGCGCAAAGTGATACCAATCGCGAATTGACGACAACCCCGCGTGACTTCGTATACACGGAGAAGAGAGTGCGTGCGTCGAATTTCGCGAGTTTCGGGAATCCACCGCTGTCGTGCGGACAAAGTTCACTCGCTTGCCGAACGAGTGCAGGTGAGGATGAAACTTCCGCTCGAAGCTTCGGTCGAATCTACGAGAAACGCTTGTTGCCGATCGGCCCCTCGGGACAGAGACTGATCTCGCAGGTAGCGATAGTGGCAATCGACGAAGAGTCAGGATGGAAACACATATCAATGAAACGACGACCGTAACGTGTATTCGTTCCATCGTTTCTAGAACCTTCTTTTCGAAGTCGTTGCGTTCGAGTCTCGCGATGCTTCCCGCCGAAGAGAGAATCGTTCAACCAGAAACGAACGTCTACGTATCTGCGCGAATGTATACCACGTCGAAGATGTAATCGAGACGTATCCAGAGACAGTCGAAGTGCTGAGCGTGACTTTTACGTTTCGCGGAGAACACGGCCGAGAATAAACGAAATAATTATGGAGGAAAGCATGGACTTCGGAATACCGATGCCAAGTATTCCAAAGGAGAAGAGGGGAAAAAGAACGAGACGAAAGATATCTAGATAGATTTCTAAAGACTGCTTGAGAATGCGTGCGCGTGTGCATGCGTTCCTAGAGGTACCTATCTCCTAATTATCGAGCGACTTCAATTAGCTAATCGTGTTAAGCTGTACGGACGCGATCGGGCGCACCGTCTCGGTTTCGAGTATTATTATCACTATTATTAATATTATTTCACCGATGACGGTGTACCATGAGAAGCTCGATCGTTGATGAGCATGAAAGAAGGAAGGAAAAGCGTCTGAGGAATTCGCTGGCTCGCCGATTGGCCGTCGATCGCACGTTCTCGTATGGCCAATCGGAACGTTGTCTTCTTTTTTTTTTTTTTTTTTTTTTTTTGTCCACTCTGCCTTTTCGAACGGCAGATCGTGCAAATGCGACTCTTTTTAAACTTAGACACGCTAGAGCACAATTCGCGCGTGACACCGTGTGATACGCGAGTCGAGATTCGAGGAGTTTCGCAACGAGCCGCGATTCGATTATTCTGTAACATATAGAACGAGAGCTGTGTGATTGTGAAAGAGAGTGAAGGGGAGAGAGACTGCGAGAGAACGTGATATAGAGATCGAGATGGTGACGAAGCTGAATTAGCGTTAGAACGATAGAAGACGCTTCGATCGAGATTAGCAGAATGGGAAGAGCACTGATTGTGAGTGAGAGTATATACCTGTGTG